TTCTGTTCTGCAACCTGGAAGACCAGGAACTTTAGTTACTCTTTTAAAATGAAGGTTGATATTTTCACTTAATTGGAAGAATAAAAAATAATACCAAATATTTTAAGATGAAATTAGGAAGCTGAAATACTGAAAATAACCTAAGAGCAGTAAAAATCTCCAGTTAGTAAATAACACTCAAACCATGCCTTACTAACCCTTAATTTTCATGATCCATGATTTGTAACCTATTGCATTTTTGCAGGTCATTATTGACCAAAAGCTGAAATGACAGATTGTCTCCCTGCTTTTGGAGTGAGGAAAAGATATTTCTGAAAGTAGCCGCTTAATGAAGTCGCTGTGTTGACCCTTTGCATTTTTTTGTCAAGGCTTATCTGCTTACTGTTTCTGTGACTTTCCTTGTCCTTGCTGCAGATGGTCCTCCCGCCAGCTCCGGTACTTCTTGCTGCTACTGAGCAGGAAACAAAGCAAAGCCACCATTGTTATATACTGATTCCTAGCCAGCTTGCTTTAAGTACTTAGACATTTAGTTACGTTATATTGCTCAGCTTTCCAATTTTTTCAGTAAAAAATAATATAAGTTCATGGTAGGAAAACAAAGAACGAAGGCTTAGGAGTTCTTTCTTATAAAATAGGTGAATATGTAATATTCCTACATTTGTAAAACAATGGGAAGATGTGACTAGCACCAGCGTCAGGAACCTCATTTGCTTCCCCCTCTGCTTCTGCAGAGCCTTTTGTGGCTCTCGGCGCCTGTGCGGTCGCCGCGTGTCAGCTCCTCCTCGCGTCACTCGGGGCGCGAGAAACGCGACGCCCAAAGGCCCATGATCTCCGTCAGCGCAGTCCTCTCCGTGTCACTTCACCTACACAGCAGCCTCTAAGGAACCTCTGCGTTACTGCCGAGGTGCTGCACGCCACACCTTAAACAAGTGATGGTGCAGAGGGCGTTTTATTTACGCCCAGCAAAAAAGGCTCAGCCTTCCTCTTGTGCAAATCTACATGTATCTTTTGACTTACCTGAATGGATTTATATTAGCTGAGGACTTGATGTGTTTGGTAGAGGGCCCAGAACTTGTGTTTTCCCTCTCCCAGGTGTCTGGATTCGGAAGTTATGCTGCTTCCCTTCACCCAGGGGATCTTCCTCTGCAAGACTTACAGGGTCTATCCTACCTTCTGTGCTACAGGAGCTTGGAGAGTGAAGCAGACAATATAAACAACATAAACAGTGAACAGTGTTGAGCTCTGCTGGGAGCCTGGGCTGCCGTTCTCTTTCTTGCTTTGATTTTTTTCTTGGTTCTCTGGTCACAGTAGGGGTGCAATAAACACTACAAAAAACTGATCAATAATAGAGTAGCTGAAAATTATTAAGAGCAGCTCCAGAATCAGCAGGTAAAGTTTTTACATCTTCAGGAAAGACATATACACCCACTCCCTCCACACCTGGAACGATTACACCCTTGCTCATTAACCAGAAGACACATCTTGCAGCTCACTTGAGGTTCTTCAGTCTCACTGTCACCGTAGGGTTTAACGCTGCAGATTTCTGCCTTGTTCTACCCCATTGCTATAACCTGTTGTTTTATCTCATTCTGAAGATTTGCCTCTCCACGTGATAAATCTCTCAGCATGAGTATGTTATCTTGTGGCCGCTTAATTTTCATTCCAAGACACTCTCATACAACGTGCTCTCCCTTCAACAGCACCACAGGATCTCCAGTCCAAACTGCATCATTAGCATGGCAAATCATTGTAACCTTAAATTCCTTGACTCAAGCCGTTGCCATTAAAATTATCAAACAGGGAGGAAGATATTCTGGTACCTCAGTGTGGGAAGACTGAAGCTTCGACGCCAACCTGCCAACTCAGTGCTCTGGCTCCTTCAGTGACTTCATGCTGCACTGGAGGTCCCAACCAGAGTCCCAGTCTGAGGAGAATCAGATAACAATACATCCCACAAGACCGGCACGAAACAGGGTCTCTTGAAATAGCAGAAAGGCCAGGTAAGACGTGAATTGGTGAAGAATGGAAAGGCAGGAGCTGGGGAACTGGCCAAGCCTAAGAAAGCACTCACAGCTGAGCCAGGAAAACACCAAAACACAGCTTTAGAGAGCCCAACACACAGGCCGAGGGGAAAAGATCATGAAAAGGCACATGCCAAAAATTGAAATTAAAAGGTTATATTATCTCCTTTTAGAACAATCAAAATGAAATTTACTATCATAAAAATATCTCTCCTTGCCTTCTTTTCGCATATGAAAGCAAATCTCAGGTGGAAAAAGTTATCTGAATTCCTTTTGAGTATTTTCTCTGGTGCTCTGGGTTTTTTTTTCCCCCCTTCGGTTTGAAAGGTTTTACAGAACGGTATGTAGGAGGGAAAAGTTCTGCTGTTGTTTTTGCTTGTTGCTTTAAAGGAAAAAAAGCAAACCAAGCTGCTAAAAGCTTTCTGCTTAAAACAGCCCTAGGAAGAGGTAGTTTCTGCTTCTAGAGTGTCTTCCCTTCAAAGTTCAACCTAAACACATGGAAGTATTCTCCTAGAAACCCCCTAAAAAAAAAAAAAAACCACACATCCAACCCCCCTGTTCTTAGTGAAAGAATTCACAGACAAAAAATACTTACTAATATGAAGTTTCTGGAAGCAAATACGTACACTTTTCTTACACTCATTTAACTCAGGTTAATGCCAGAGGAGGGGAGGAAAAACTCCCACAAAAAATAAAAACCCCAACACCCCACAGTAAGCATTCCCATTTTTATCTGTGCTTGCATAAAGGGCACAAGGAATTACAGAGTCTCCAAAGAATATCTTGTTAATATTACTTACAAGAAAGACGAGAAACAACGTCTTCCATAAATTACCATAATGTTCATGATTTAGCAATGGCTGTGTACTTAATAAATAGTTATCCTTACAGTTAATATTACTTCTTTAACAATACTTCCCAAATAAAGTGGTTCAATCTTTTATTAACATCACAGATTGAGCAATACTTGTTAATATTATCAGAAAACTGCTCCAGGAAGGAATGGCTTGACTACCAAGGTAACCTTGTACTCTCCATAAAGTTGACTACTGTTGGCTAAAGAATTTCATTCCAGTTGATAATAATTATATACATTCACAAAAGTTTAACTAAAGCTATATTTTAAGATAAATAAATAAATATATTGGAAAATTAAAGCAATTAAATTAAAGCAAGTGGTTAATATAGTAATAAGAAGCTGCGTAACATTCCTAATAGTATACTGAAGGAAGTATGAAAGCTAATGCATTCAGTACCTGATGTCTTTCCACAAAGGAGGAATTTTACTTAATTTTAGTCTGAGAAGGCTATTTAGTAACAGTTATTGAAATCCTGTTTCCTGCAATAGAGCCCCACAGACAGAAAAATTTGCCAGAATAATTTTCAAAAGTAAGAATGCAATATGACCTTTTTCTTCCTGAAGCGTCACCAAAAAATCTCAATCTCCTCGCAATGCTAATAGGTGTAGTCATTTTTTTCTACACCCATAAAATACGTGTTCTACTACAGCCTCAAAAGCAGTTAATGTAATACAGTATTCTTTAGACCACCAGATCAAATACTGGTCATTCAATTATTAATTTAAAGCTTCTAGCTGACTACAGTAATGCTGTGGAAGTGTTCTGGTTCAGTCTTAAGATGAAAAACAGAACAGACAAAGGAAGGGACGCAGGCTGAAAGACAGGAATTAACTGCTGAACATTACCAAGGCTGCCTCAAGTGTGGAGCCCCAAACCCCGGAGCGCTTGTTGGCAGAATGAGCCAAACGGAAATACACTAAAACTGAAAACACACATTTTTCACCCACCCCGCTAAGTAAGAAAGTGTTGCTTACAAATGTGAACTTTATTAGTTAATTCACCTTACATACACATGTGGGTGAAGTCTTCCGTATTTATTCAAAATCTTTTTGTATTTCAAGGATTAAACGTCAGAATACGTAGAGTCACTTTTCATGGCACTTTCAGTACTTTTGCTTCTGGTTAGAGTTCTGTGCAGCATTATTATCCCGAAACACATACGACTACATTTTAACAATATTTATCTCAAATCAAACACATAACCCTAACATAGGAAAGTTCTTTGTATTATAATAGTTTTGCTGGTGTCTTGTGTGCTATTGTCAGATACCAGCCAAAGTAAAACTGAAACCAGAGTAGAAGTATTTTAAGAGGGGAAAGACAATTCCCAAAGGAAAGCACTGCTTGGTGTGCTCATGCTGGGTCTGAATTCTCATTTTCAGTGTATCCTGAAGCAGGAGATTTTGGGTGACTATGAAAGCTGGAATAGATGAACCTTAATAAACAGATTTTCAATTTTAAAATACCCCAGAAGTATGGATGTATGAACCTGAACTGCATAAGTCTTGCCTCTGTCATAGTAATTTGATCACAACCCCTCTATAATGTCAGAGGAACCCAGAGAATGAAATAAATCTTAATCAAATACTAAAGGCTGGTTTGGCTAAGAGGACCATGCAAAATTTCTGAAACGTGCATAGTGAGAAACTACAGCAGCAGGGTGACAAGAAAGAAATAGAAGAACAGAAAGAAATAAGGGAAAAGAAGAAGCACAAACAGTGAGAATAATAAGAAACTACAAGAAAAGAGGAAGTGTAACAAACAGGCAGAAAAGAGCGAGGGGAAAAGGAAATGGAAAAGACATTGCCTCCATTGAAAATGATTCTAGCTTTAAACAATCTGAAGATCATTTTCAAAATGTACAAAAATCTAGATAACTAAATTTAAAATTTATCTGACTGCACAAGACAAGTAAAAATTTATCCAGTTAAGTAACAATAAGTGGTAGAAAAGTATAAGGTCACCAAATATAGTCTATAATAGTCTTATATTGGGAATCCATGAAGGCAATAGCAAGAGAAGTCCATTAAAACCTTCCCACAGGTAGCAGCTTCAGAGGAGCGGTAACAAGAATCGCTGCATCCTCCAGCGGCACCCAGGGAACTTTGCTGTGATTTTATTAGGAAAGAAGAGCAGTCGCCTTTGCCTGCCGATGTCCCTTCTCCCGCCACAACGCTGTGCGACGTCGCATCCCGCCGGCGTTGCTATCATCCTGCTGCACTCTGGAACGAGTCAAGACCGGGAGGGCAGAGATACGTCCTTTCTCCGGGTTTAGTGACATTGCACCTGGGAAGGATAGAGGGCAACTGAGATTGCTGGTGGATAAAAACTCCTTTGAATATCAGCTGCAATGGAATCGGGATGTAGTTGTGATGGGAATGCATATCTAACAGAGCTTAAGGGATGTGCCTCACAGATGGTTAGAGCTAAACTAGTATTAAATAAGGACCTTATTAAAATGAGGGCTTTTCCTGGGGGTA